ATATTTTAAATTAATATTTTATATAATATCAACTTTATTACTAGTTTAGTTTAAAAAATAATAATTTTAATAAAATTTGTTTAATACTAAATATTCTATTTATTTCCTAACTTATATTTTGCATAAGTTTATGGAGAAGCAAAAACATTTGAAAGTAATAAATAAAATATATTACTTTATATTGAATACAGTAATAAATAGAATTATATGATTTTCCTCCTGAGTTTTATTGTTTCTAACAGACTATACCTAATTTTGATTTTTATACTGAAGTTTGGTATAATTGATTCAGTTTTTACTTTCTATATCCTTTTATTTACTTATCTGTAATTAAAAATTATTTATTTTATTTTTTACATTCTTAGTTTGCATAAATTTCATTTATTTACAAGTTTTTTGATTAAAAGGTAAAAATTTATAACTTACTTTTACAATTTATTAGTTTATTGGTTTTTAAATTAGTAAATAAAATGTGAAAGAAGATTTCCTCTTGAGTTTTATTTACCAAGTTTTACAAACTTTAAGGTGTCTACAGTTTATATTAACTTATACTCCATGTTAGTGTTATATAATTATCTTCCTGAACAATTATTCACATGTGAATGCTTCTATCCACCAGTGGACTGAAGGACAAAACTTCCAAACACCAATAATTATTGATACTTGAATGTTTATGCCTCACCATGGACTAATGGTCACATAGTTTTCTGGGTTTTCTTCACAGGCTTAATGCCTAAAATAAGGACTAGTTTTTTTTTGGTAGAAAGTTTTATCTTGAGGCATTCCCTTGGCAGATCCTGCAAGTGTTACATTGCTTTATTTCACCAAAATGGAGCACATCTTGTAATCCTATTTGCTTGGCTTAACAGGTTTTGGTATTTTTTGCTTGTAAACAGTATAAGACACACAGTACCAACCAATAAAGTTTATATTTTTCCAAATTTTTATTTTTTCTTTTAAATTTAATAATTACAAAATATGTTGTTATATGACCAGTCTGTCTCAGTTACTTCAAGAGGATGTTAGACTAAAGTCATACTGGATTTTAATGCATTTAATTTACTTAACTAGTTACATTATTTGAGTATTTAATTTTTGAAGTTAACCCAGGTTTACTTCACCTTGGATAATCAAGACTTCACTGTAATTTAAAATAAGCATGTGGAGAGAAATTCAATTTTAGTATTTACCAAAATAGTTTAAAAGTTATATGCTTTATTTCATAATTAAGTAATAAAAAGCTGTTATTACTCCTTAAGTATTTAACTTCATTCACAACATTGATTTTATTTCCATTTATATATTTATTTGTTTTACGTAGCTTACCACCTTTCCTAAATGTAATTATGTTTAATTTTTAATAACTTATTTCAAATCTCACAATTTTTTTAAACACCCAAAATAACTTTTAGCAGATTTATTTTAATTTTTTCTCTTAACTAATCACCATATGTTAAGCTTATTTGTTTATTGAAGAAACAATTAAGTATCAGAATTATTAATAGTTTAGTTTGTGAAAATGTTTGCTAATAAAATTCTATTTTATAGCTAAATCAATGAACAAATGATTAATTATTTTTCATGTTTGCATTTTGATTATATTATTTCTGAACTTATGATTGTACGATTACAGTTGTGAGAGTTAGCCGGGGTTACGGAGTAGGTAGTACTCGTGTAACACTTAATCGGCACTAGTCGGTAAGACTAGTTCTCTACGATGCAGATCACTAGATCTGATCTCAAATATTTCATAGGAGAGCGATAACCGCTAGATGATCCAAACGGCGAAGTTCAGATGCTCGTCAGGATTCCTTGACACCAGTTAATCAATCTTATTATACGCGGATTAACACGCGTATGTGATCTGATTCGGTCACGCAGTTAAAAGACATTTTTAATTAAAACTAAATAATAAATTTAATAAAACAAGAATGTAAACTCATACAAAATGTGGATAAACGAGAGACAGAACTACTACAAATAATATACAAATTGGGAGATCGCTAAGCTTATATTATACCCTATTCGCGATCGAGAGAGAGCTCACAAAAATCGTTATAAAACATACGACCTGTTCCAGATGTCGTTCGTCTTCTTCTCTGTATGCAAGTTCATTTACTTCTTCGTATGGGAGATCACTATGTGCACAAATATAAAGGTATCCCTTCTATGTGTAGACTCTCGACTATTTTGTATGTGACTCGTCTAAGGACGTTGGTCATCAGGAGGGAAACGTATGTGGAGTTTGGACGCTTTCGGATCTGTTGCTGAACTCCTTGAATTCTGCTAAGTTCCCTGTATATCTTCGGAATATCGACCAATCATCGGCCCGTAACTCTTTCGTGAGAACGGATGAAAGGGGAATGAATGAGGGGTAACCATTTCCCATCGGAGCAGGATTTTAACCCGATAAGGGAAAGTCAGAGGATGTACTAACTCCAGTGAAAGGAAGTGACATCTGTTATCTGCCTATTCCCACGTTAAAACAATATTTTTCTCACCAAAAATGAAATAATATTTGGTGACATTATTTTAAGATTAATAATAAAATATTAATTTAGACCCAGGGGCCTTTCGGGTCTCACACAGTATTTTAGTTCAAACTATTTATGGAGTGTAGTGATTTAATTAATTTTTATTTTCTGCCTTATTTATTAAAGGATATATAAATTTACTATTACACTTAAAATTTTGTTAATACTTTAAAAATTTCTGTTGGTGTGAGTTACTGGAGTTCTTGAAAATTTCTTGAGCTTTTAGAATTAATGTCTTATCTAGTTAGGATTCATGAAATGTATTGTGCTATTTTGAGGAATTGAGCCCAAACATTATTTTATTTTGTTTTATTTTTGTTATCTATATTGGGGAGTTGTTTTGTTGAAAGGATGGCAAACTGCAGCTTCCATTTAAAATTAATTTTTCTTGGCGTATGCAGATCCCATTAAAAAATGGCATCTATAATTTGGTGAATTAAAAATTGTGATTAAATTGTTATGTTGCATGGTAAATATAACCTGTGTAATAGTAGTATTTTGTCAAATATTAGTTAAGAAAATTGCTGGTAAGAGAAAATTGTAAAATGATTGTTAGTAAATAAATATGTAGAGAAAAAATTACTGTAATCAACAAAATGATGATACAAATGTGATGTTGCATTTGGTGTTTAAGAGACTGCAAAAAATGAGTAGATTTGAAAATTTCCAGCAGCTATCACGAGTGGACATGAAAAACGTTCAGTTTCTGACAAATAGGCAGTTTATTTGAGAACAGTTGCATTTATAAGTTTGATATTGGAGGTGGAGATATTTTTTCTTGAATAAAAGTTGTTAATTTTATTTCTTTTCTTTTGTTGTTCGAAATAATTATTTTTTCATTACTAAGTAATTTTTTACCCAATACTTATTGTTGTAATTACTTAACTTGCTAGTGTTAATGTTACAAATGGAAACTTTGCTAATTATAAATTAACTATTGCAGTTTTGTGGATGTTAAATTTCATTGTTAAATCTTGTTTTAGTTAAGTTTTGAATTTAACCAGACTAATTAGTTAGTCTTCTACAATTCATTTTGGATTAAACGAGTCTCTGTTAATCAGGAGTGAATTATACTTTCCTTATGTCTTTCCTGAATGAGAATTAATTTTTTTTTCAATTATTCAAAATTAATTTATAACTAACAGTTTTAGATTGCTAAATCTGTTCCAGGTTATACATCAAGATTTCACTTCCATAGATATTGCATTTTGGTTAAACTCGTCAAACTGTATTAAATTTTCTGGGATATTCAACTATGGTGATAGTGTAATCGACTAGTGAGATTGAGTTAAATCAGCATGTTAAATATTTGCTATTACAAATATTGGTCTGATAAAATCGTTAAAATTATGCAATGGAAATACCAACAGCAAAATAGGATTCATGGCACTAGGAGCTGCTAATTATGATGTCTGGAAAAAGTGCGTCTTACATTTGAGTAAATGTGGTAAAATTTTGTTTTACAACATTATCTTAGAACCAAATAATTTCATCTCAAATATATATTTATTTTCCATAGAAGGAAAGATGCCTTTTGCTAATATGTAGAAGTATGAGTAGCATATTGGATGATCATTTATAAGTTTAAATTTTATTAATTTTATAAATTAATTTTTAGTTACTTATATTGTTTAACACATTAAATATTTTATCATTTGGACATTTTTTTCTATATAATAAATTTTCTTTAATTAATAAGGAAATTATTTAGTGTTACATTGTGTTGATGCTACCATAGCCTTTGACAATCTTTGGATCAAAATTTCCTATGCAAATGTATTGTAGATTAATTGAAAGTACTGAGCAGATAATATTATGAAAAACAAATGCTGTGGGAATATAAATGCACTTGCATGTATTTTACATAAATTTGGCATTCTGACATTTTATATATTCGTATATTCCAAGAGATTCTTTCTTTAACAGTCATTTCTAGAATGAAAAATTTTTCTATATAAAATAATTGATGTGAATCACTTTGTGATGTGAAAATATCCAATTTAATTCACTTACTTTTATTAAGAAAACTTCTTAGAAGACTATTTTTGTGCTTTATGCCTATTACTGATCAATTACTAACAGATAGATAATCATTAGATTTTGTTTTTTTCAGTCTGTATGTTCTTGTTGACTTGTGATAATGGGCATATAACTCAATGACTCCAGAGATTCTGCTATGAGGGCAGTAGATTGAATTGAATTTGTTTGAGTTGCTTTTGTAACTGATAGAATCAAATTTGCTTGTGGTTAATAACTATGTTGTTCATTTATTTAATGTTTTAATAATGGCTCAGATTTATACTTTTTTCATTAGTCACTGTCAATGATTTTGTTTGCATAATGATATTCATATTTTGTGATATACATTAATGGAGTTAAATTTACATTTAAATTAAAAGAAAGTAAATATTAGTACATTACTTGATTATGATATTTTGTCTTCTTGTAGCGAGTGTAGCTGTAAGGTTTCACATCACAAAATATCCCACTCTAAAAGTGATACACCATGGTAAGATAAAACGGGAATATCGAGGTCAGAGATCATCTGAAGCATTGATTTCGTACATTCGTGATCTATTGAGGGATCCTATCGTCGAAATCAAACAGCTGGAAGACGAGGAGAAAGTAGACGTTAGTAAATTTAATGTGTATTAATATAAAATATATAAAATTGTGTGCTAGGATAGTATTTCTGAACTTATTTTAGTTAACGAGATCACTCTTAATAAACTGGAAGACTGATTTCACCAATATACCTTGTAGTTGATAATTAGTTGAGAAACATTTAATTTTTCTAATTTTTTTATATGAAGTAAAATATATAAGATATTTAACATTTTTTGTTTGCTATGAAAATATTTTGTTTTAATGCACTTCTTTTCTTTTATTAGAATAACAAAAGAGCTATGGTGGCTTATTTTAAGACCCAGTTGGATCCGGAATATAATGTATTCCGCAAAGTTGCCGCAGACTTAAGAGATGACTGTCAATTTTTCCTTAATACTAGGTTATGAATTTAATAAATTGCAAAAATATTAAAATATTTTAAGCCAAACCTAATATTTAACATGAATTTCTTTGTTTAGATCTGATATACAGACAAATCTAACAGAAAATAAGATAATTTTCAAGCAGTCTCGAACTAAAGTAAGTGGTAAAGTTTACTTCATATTGAAAAAATTTAATTTGATTTACTTATAAGATGCAAGGTTCTGTTTATATATTAAAATATACTTTTTGGTTTAATTTTTAAACTACATTAAAGTGTAGGAAACAATTGGAATACATTGCAATTAGATGTTTATGAAGACTGTATTGCTTTCAGTCTTCTTTAACTAATACCATAATTTATGGCAAATAAGATGCACCATCATTTCAGTATAGAAAATTTAGGATAAAAGTACTTAGTGTATTTAAGCCATACCACACACTTGATACTCAGCTCAAGAAATTTTTATACTGTATCCAGTTTAAAAAACAAAATTAGAATGTATAGTTTTATTTTCTAAGGGAAAAGAGGAGTTTAAAAGAAGTCACTTATCATTAAAATATTCACCATATGCTAAAACTTCTTAGCTACAGCAAAAAAATTAAAAATAATGTCCATAATTAAACAATAGCATTTTCATTCAAGAGTTGGGCTAGGTAGAAGTTGCTGAAGACCATTTGGGAAAGTTCATTTGTCTATGGAAGATTGCATGATGCTGAGATTGTATTCAATCTAAGTGCAGTCAGTGGTTTTCTTTTTGGAGTTGTGTCACACTTAAACAATCACGTGGAAATTATTATACATTTTATTATTAATTAAATATTGCAGGATTGGCCAATGGGCTAATCTTAAATTTACTACTGCATGAATGGACTTTTGTGCCTAACATATTGTCCAATCAGCATATTAGACATAGTAATAAGTTTGTGACAGTAAATGTGTTAAATTATTAGAATAATTCCAATGTGGGATTGTTATGTATTAAATATATTCAAAGTTTTGTTTTGACATTGTATATAAATTTGAGTGTTATAAAAGATGATATTTATAGTATAATTGAAGTTTATTTGTATATAAAATTAATCATCCCCAATGTCACAGATTGGTGAAACAAATGTTTTCACTACATCAATGCCAAACTAAAAAATTTTGCTTTGCAAAAAATATTATATAAACTAATATTTTTTACAAAGTATTTCATTTGAAGTAATGATTATTGACACTTTCATTGCATTACATTACCAAGTGAGGTGTTAAATGCTAGTATAATAAGCACATCAAAATAAGTATGTTTCAACTAAATTTGATACTAAAAAAATATAATTATAGCTCGGAGAAAAAGATGAAATCTATCCAGGTGTCTTGTTAAGTTATGACGAACTTAGTGCTTGGGCAACCAATCGCTGCATTCCTCTAGTCCGTGAAATAACATTTGAAAATGCTGAGGTACAGTTTTAATTTTTTTTTTTTTTCAAATTTGCAAAAAATAGATTTGATATTGAAAATAAACTGCAATATAATAATTTTAATTTTCAGGAATTAACAGAAGAAGGTCTACCTTTCCTGATTTTGTTTCATCATCCTGATGATAAGGAAAGTGTGGAGATATACTCTAAAGAAGTTCAGAGTCAACTGTCAAATGATAAACGTCAGTTTATAATTATTTTTTAGTTTTTTATAGTTTATATACCATATTTACTTGAATATAAGATGACCTTGCATATAGGATGAAGTGTGACTTTAAAGATCAAAATAAAAGAAATTTAGATTTATTAATATAATTCTAATTTTATTTTGTTTAATTACAAGTAAAATATCAAATAAACGTAAATGCACACATTGTCTCTCAAAAATTACTAGCATTTTAAAAACTTTAAGGAAAAATCTTGTAAAATCAACAACATAATTTGTTCATGTAAAGCTGGACAATCAGGAACTTTTTTTTTTTTTTTTTGTTAATTCTTCTTCACAGTCAAATCCACTCTCTGTCGGTTACACTTATGAGTTTCTCTGAATTATGATTTCTTAATAATCATTTGTTTTCACGTGAGAATGGATTAAAACTTATATTGTGTTTCCTTGTGATTTTGGAATTTTAATCTGGAATTCAATTCAAAAGTTTTGCTTTTCCTATTGCTATTCGTCTTTACTCTTGTTAATGTACAAGAACGATTCAAATGACCTAGATAAAATACTTATGTTTTTAAGTACAAGAGGGTAAGCATCTGGTAAAAAAATGCAAATACACAGTTCACAAAAATTATTTGCAAAAATGCAAAGAATTTTTTGCTCGTGCATATAGGATGATCTAGGAATTTGAAGCTGTGTTAAATGAATAAAACCTTCATCTTATATGCAAGTAAATACGGTAATTATTTTTGCCATTAGTTAAACTTTTACTATGTGACTTGCAGATAGCATTAATGTTCTGACGGCAGATGGTGTAAAATTTTCACATCCTCTACATCATCTCGGAAAGTCACAAAAAGATCTGCCATTAATTGCCATTGACAGTTTTCGTCACATGTATCTTTTGCCTCAGTTTAATGATGTAAAGTAAGTTGTTATTATTTTCTTAATCTTTCAAAGTATTTATTGATTAAATTATTTGAACTTTAAAAAGTTTAATTTGAGAACATCAAATAATAAAGTAAAAGTACAAATACAAAGTTCTAATGTGATGTAATTTTGCACAAAGATATAATGCCTAATCAATAAATACTGCTATTTTGAGCTAGATTTCAAGTTTTGCATGTAGTAACTTCTGACAGTTATTTGTAGCAAAACAACATTAGTTTGATGTGAAAAACCATGCATCACAAAGCATTGCAAACAGTTTGAAAGAGATTTACTTTTAGATATATCATTGTATGCTTACACTTGTGTCTGACCAATCCTAGTTTGGAATTATGTTGTGACTGTTACTTCAGCAATGCTCAAGTCAGGATTGACCACCACCTGTGACTTTAGGTGCATAGGATCCTTCCAAATAATTATTGTGTGAGTGGTTGAGTATGGGGGGAATGAATGGGTCTGTAACAGAGGAGAGAGTCGAGAATAATGCACAAGCATTTAACCATAAAGCAACAAATATTTATTCTTCAAGTAAGTATAAATTTACAAAGAAAAATGTAAATAGAGGGAGAGACTAAGCTTCACAAGTTAGCAATATGAATCATTTTTGAATAATTTTTTTAATGAATGAATCCAAATAACACATTTGATCACAATGTTTAAACATTGTGATCAAATGTTTTTTGTATTAAACAGTATTTATGTATTAAACAGTATTTCATAAGTTCTGTTATGGCAAAGATTTTTTAATCTACTGAAAAAGGATAAAAAATAGTCACCCTAAAAAATTCCCCAAATTTGTTGTCTGTCGATAAAAAATTTCCAATGTAGAAATGCTTGGCAGCATTGCACAAAACTGTCTTCAGTTCTCAATGTCACTTCCTACTTTTCTGCTCAAACTTGCAGAGTGACATCACAAAATTGCTAGGGGTGTGGTGCACAAGAGCTAGACATTCTACTGTTTTTCCTGAAGTGTGCTTTGTGATTCAGTTTCATACTGAGTGTCAAAATAAGTGGACTAGGATTTCTATTGCCAGTATTATATTTTTATCTCCACTTTAATAAAAATATTATCAAGTGGCAATTTTGGAGCTAGGCAGCACATCCCCTGCAGAATCAATTGATTGACTTGCTTATTCTGATGATGAAGTTACTACAATAAGCAGATCCTATTGCATAAAAATAAAGTTGATATTATGTAATAAAAGTTTTAATTTGTTTAATATGAAACTAATAAAGTAATTCATACTACAAGTAATCATATTTTAAAAATTGACTTTAAAAAACAAACTGATGCAAAAAAAAGATCAGTTTTTATTCATAATGTGTTACAAATTATGGGTTTTCAATTTTATAATAATTTTTATAGAATTCCTGGAAGATTAAAAGAATTTGTATCTGATCTGTATTCTGGAAAACTGCATAGAGAATTTCATTACGGTCCAGATCCGGTGACGCAGTCGGAAGCGGAGCCAGATGTGAGTGTAAAGATATAAGTTGTCCTATTACGTGAGTTGTCAATAATAGAAAAGTAAATATTAAATTGTTTTGAAATTTCAGCAAGCCATTTCAACTAATCCACCAGAATCAACATTCAGAAAACTTGCTCCATCTAAGAACAGATATACACTTTTGCGTGATGAATTATGATGTTTCTGCATTAACCAATGTGCATTTAAGAGGTATTTATTTCTAAAAATATATTTTATTTGTTAGAAAAATTAGAAGAAAGCTGAAAACATTAGGAAGTTTAATTTATTCAAATTACATTTCAACATTTGGGAAACAATATTATTTGTGCACATTTCTTTTACTGTGGTAGACTTGACTTTAATTTGTGAAGTGTAAAACTAAGAAGAATTATATAATTACATATTCCAAGCTTACTACTGCTAATTTTTTATGGCAGTCGTTATTGTAGTTATTTGTGGACAGTATGCTAGTTGTTCATGGACTGAAAAAAAAAATTTTATCTGAATACTTTTGCTCTAAATTCTTCTTGGTTCACCATCACAATGTTAACAAGTGTGCACACACTGATCTGATTCTATTTGATTTGTCTGCTCTTATCGTGTATCCTTACCTTTATATGCATATATTGGGCTCTGTCCCTTATCACAGCTTCCCCACTGTGAGCCTAGCCATATCCAAGACAGGTTTGATTAAAAGGCCCTATTAATAGGTACTAATAGTACCTATGGGTTTCAAAAGAGTAAAAACAAAAAATTCAGATAAATTAATAGCTCATTAAAGCATGTTCTATACAGATGATGAAGCTGTTGCAGGCATATCCAAGTGGCATCCTAGAAGGATTTGTTTGGAATGCCACATATCGTATTGTGAGATTAGCAGCGGGCCACTGGCTAATTCCCAAATGACCACTTATTCTGCAACAGGTTGGTAAAACCTGATCTCTGATTCGTTGGATGCCTAGGAGGGCAAAAAGTGAGTGGGGAGTGCGTCGGTAAATCGGCAGGTGTCCTTAAGAGACAGGGGACAAGTTTAACAAACTAAACAAGCATTTATTTATATAACTAAGCTAGGATACATAGGTTAAATGCGGTTAAATACATCTAAGAATACTGTGGATAACATGAGTACGCTTATGGTGATTATACAGTTTATCTTTCCTCTAAAGATTAAACTAAGAATACACTTAGGGGAGAGAGTTTGCATTAAATAATTACCGCAAAGTGAGCTATATGTGGCGATTAAGTACTATGTGGAAGTTCCTACGGTCTTCTGTCTGTCCAAAGTCGGTGGAGACAAATATGACACATCTATAAGTATAACTTCTGTGAGGGTTCTAGGGATTTTTAGATTCAAACCCCACTCCCGTGACACCAATTTGTGAGCCACTGGGAGGTAAGAGGAATCCGCTCCTTCCAGCCACAGGTCGGTGACCTACTTTCTTGTCAGGGATGGTAGTAACATTCGGTTACACGTTACACGAGTGGAGGAGAGTCGGAGGGGTTGACGATAAGACGTTGGCAAAGTCGAGTAACGACACCATTTAAAAAACAAAACAGCGGTTTATTTTACTAGCTAACTAAATAAAAATTTTACAAAACTTCATAGATTTCGCGGATGAGAGAGAGAGTTTACAATAATAAGCGTTCATACCTCTTTGCATATACTAGTGGGATATTTTCCCGTAATGTCGTCTTTTATGGATTCTGAGCGGTGACACAAGTATAGGTCAGTGACGAAAGTGTAGGGCTGCAATGGGAGTGAGTGTAGGGCTGCGATGGAGAAGGCAATGTCTGACTTCGACGTTCGGCGATTCCCCCGACGAGGGGAAGATGTTGGCTTTTTATACATTTTTGGTGGGAAAATTTGTCAGGTGACCAATTGTTTTCGCAGGATTGTGGGGTTAAAGTTGGTGTTAGAATGACAACAATATGACGAATTTTGTCGATACTTGTAAACTATTCACAGATTGATCGTGAGAATGTTTATAGTTAAATAGAAAGAGTTATAACTTTCTCATGCGCTTCATATTTTGTTTCTGCAGGCTCAAACTCCTTTAGTTAAAGGAATTTTTATTTAAATTTATTAAAATTTTAAAGGGTTACTTTCTTTTATGAAATTATATGCACTTCGAATTTCACACTTCTGAGAGATCGCCCGAGCTTCTGGGGACTCAAACTTTTATATGTGATTCGTGGGAAATGAGTCACATGATCGACTTACGTTGACACTTATGGTGCATTCCGATCAGTTAAGTGTCAACTTTCCCACCTAAGTGTGAAAACAATTGACCAATATACTTCTCACCAAGAGAGTTTTCTTTTTCATCGGAGTTGTTTACAAAGATTTTTCTGACATTGGTGTAAAAATTGCGGATCTCACAGTATGATTTATTTTTCATTTTATAACATACAGAATAATAAATAATATTAAAGAAAAATTGATAATTGCTATTATTGTAATAAAACAAATGATACTACCTGATTGAAATCAAATTATATCATTCATTTATTATTATACATCAAGCTTCTTTTTATGTAATTTATATTTTTGATTTTATTTAATATACTTCGTCTTTAGTTCCGGTTTATATTCAGTTTGGTGTATCTTTTTAAATTTATTCTAATTAAATGAATTATCTATAAAGAAATGAAGTATATTTACTTCACTTCTTTAAAGATAATTTTCTTTGTGATGACTTTCTCATGCATAAATTCTATTAAAGTTAAATACACCCATTTTGGCACTTAGACTTAAAAAGGTTTTCTATTTCTGATGTACAGTTGACCCCTATAACATGGTAGATACTTTTTATTCTGCTTTTTATGAAATTCATGTTCTATGAGTCCTTAAATATGTGAACCAATCACAGCCCGGTACGTATGCAGTTTACGGACTACAGCTGTCTGAAAGGTTTTCTTCCATAAAATTAATCAATTCTAGACTAATTTGACTCAACATTTCCAAAACACATATAATTATTTTTGGAATAATACACACAAACTATGCTATAAACAAAAAATCGTAGGATTACTTACCGAGTGTGCACTGTTCGATGACGCCATTGCTTAAGCTTGTTTTTGTCGTGGAGTGGTGCATCAAACGGCGGGCGCGTGTTTCCTCATAAGTTGTTTTTCTGCGAAAAATTCACTGAACTTTGGAGACATCATTAATATAAATATAATTTTTTTGGCCGTTAAATATTAAATGGTTTTTAGTAGGTCTGCTGCTCGTTTAAACTCAACAGTTTGTGCAATATCTGCTATTGGTCTACATTCGACCAATCCTGTCATGACACGAGTCGGTGATGATGTTTTACCATATTTTACGAATTTCTTTTAGCATGTTTATACGAATACGGTCGCAATTTTTTTGCCGTTATATATGAACCCATTTTATAGGGGGGGTCTACTGTATTTAAATTTTGTAAATGAATTAAAGCACCAAAGATTTGATGAGGACTAACAAATTTTTCAGTTTGATAACTGAACAATATGTTAGTTCTCATACATTATTTTCATCTATGAATTATTTTTTCTATATTTTAATTTGATACAGAAAGTAATCTATCTAATCTAAGTTTTAGTGTAATGGAAGAATGGAAAAGTTATTATTATTAATAAATTTAAATAGAATTAGTATATTTTTTTTATAAGAAGACATGCACATAATTTATATAAGTATATATTAAATGGAATTTAAATTCTTGTATTATTTAAATGAAGTTACCACTTTTCTTTGATTGTAAGATGTGTGTTCATTTACATCCTCTGTCTGAAATTGTGATTTGTGTATTAATTACTTCACCTAACATATATAAATCTTATATATTATAGAATATTAAAAATAGATACTAGTGAAATTAGAATTAGAACTGGAAAATATCTTTGTTACATATTTTTTTTCTCCTTGAACTTTCAGGTGAAATTCTCAAACTCACCTGAAAGTTTACAGAGAAAAGAAATATAGAATTTCAGAATTTCTTATTCAATGTAATTCAATACATACACACAAAATATTTAATGGCGTTTTACATTCAATGTTAAAATCTTGCCAGTTTCACAATATGAAAGCAAGTCATGGCATAGTTACTGCATTAGAGAAAACTTTAAACCATCTGTTTGTCCCACTGTTATTTTGGTATATGTGCTGGTTATACTACAGTTTTGAATTCAGCTAACGCATGGAATTCAAAGGTTTTTGTGAGTCATTGATATATTTTCCAGTATTTTTACAAGAAGGTATTTAACCTTTTCTCAAGGTAACACATGGAATCTGATATTTAAAATGCAGCATTGAAATAAAATCATTTTATATCAAGTAACACTGAAGAGTATAAATAGATAAATCCAATAGATTTTTCTTTCAAAATAAAAGTTGTAAGTTATTTTATGGATAAATTTTTTAAAATTTGTGCATTGTAAGTTAGTTTTTTTTTTGTGTATTTTCAACTTAAAATTCAATATATTACATCTGATGGTATTGTGAGTATCTAGAGTTAAAAGGAAAGTCATTTTTGGATAAATTAACAGAGGAGAGAAAAAAGATTTAGATTTTAATATAAAATAATATTTTAAACTTACAAAATTTTGAAAAACGGATGTTAAAAGAAACATTTGATTTTAGAAAGGAAGTTGATTTCCTTTGCTATGGCTGACTCACGAGATGAGTCAAAAATGTGGCTTTTGCACATGCTACTTTGCCATCTGAGAAGGCCGATATAAAAGGGACATTTTCCTGCCATTTGGGGCAGTCTGTCGAAAGAGGTATTGCCACATGACGGCAGTTCGTCGTAAGAGATATTGACATATGAATTCTGGAAAGTCATTCAGAGAGAACACCGTTCAAAGAGTCTGTTATATGACGAAGTCCGTCATAAGAAGAGTTATCCATACAAGAAAGTGCCATAGAAAATATAAGAAGAAGACTATGCATAAGTAAAGAAGATCCTCATACATTGAAATATTCGAAAGACCTGGAGGAGGTAATATGATAATGGTTAGACTGATGTGAACTCTCTCTTGCAATAGGATTATTAGGTTTAGGTTTAATTTAGTTTGTAGTGACTTAGGTATGAGTACGATTTGTTATTCATTCATTTGTATACTTTTAATATTTTTGATTTATTAAATGTTTTAGTTTATTTTATAAATATGGTCTGGTTAATGTTAGATATTCACATATACTTATTCAGGTTATTTGTGTTCTTCAT